AATATGGAAATTCATATTACCGTGTTTATCAGGAAATAAGTTTTACTACTAAGCACAATATAAAATAAAACTTTATCTGGATGCTAAGCGATCCGTCGACGTTTCAAAACTGATGTTAAGTAGGGCCTTTTCAACCGTCGCATTGCAGTTCTCCATCAGCCAACGTACGAATGCACTACTTGACTAATGCAAGAAAACACCATCAAAATATAGTTAAAGTTTTATTCTACACAGAGCGGAATGCGTAAGCCATATGCATTCCTTACGTCCAAGGTCTCTCCGATCCATCGGGAGGATTTCAAATTCTGTGAATGTCGCTTTCAGGTCGAAAGGTAACTTGCCATCACTACTTACTAAAGTGAAAAACCCTATTCGACTAAAAGAGGCAGTGGACGTTATTTACCCGATTAACTGTTCAAACCGTAAACATCGCTACCCTTACATGTTGCAGCGATAGGGAGCAAGCGATTAGTCATGGGCCAAGAAGCGTTATAAAGTAACTGGACGTAACATCTGCTCTCGCACATTATCATATCATTACCGGCCACCGCAATGACTTCACCGGAGTAAGAACCTATCACTTATAGCTTAGTCAGTTGACTTATTTGTAAGATTAGTCAAGTGCACTCAAGTTCACTGCCATAGTAGACAGCGCCAATCTACTTCTAAGCGATTAGTACTAGAATCTCCCTCGATGCAAACAACAGACAATAATTTAAACAGGGAACCATGGAGTGGAAACGTACAAGACATGGATAAGTCTAATCCAGCGCTTTGAGGATCCAAAAAATTAGAGGATCATCGAGTGAGCAACAAACTCGACGAAGTTAACAGCGGACAGACATGAAAGCTGCGCAAAAACTAGCAACCACTTAATGAATACATTGCTTGCCTGATTATAATTTACTAAGCAGCAACACAAATAAACCGCGTGAATCAAAACATGTGCTTCATGACGGCTAGCCAGTTCAGTCGAAACCTATCCATTCCGCTCTGTGGAATAAAGCTCTTTTTCAATTGTCAATATGATCTCCACAGTGACATGCACTTTCGAAAAAATATCATCAAACGTTACTTTTAAAATTCTCTTAGAAAAATGTCTACATACTTCAAGACACCTTCACCAATTATGACCTTGTTGCAAATTTCAGCATGAAAAGCAGCAACTAACCTGCAACTAATTACAGTCACCTTGTCTAATTTCGTTGATGAGTTGGTTCAGTTGCGAGTTTTCCGATTGCTCCAAAATAGTGAATGTTATGCAAAATGTCTTCAAGAGGAATCTTCATGGAATTTATGCTACAGAAATAAATCAAAGCTTAATGAACAGTACAATTTTTATCTGTATCTTCCTAACCGCTTTTTCTTTCAAATCGCGGTGGCAGACGCATCAGACAGTGTTTCAGACGTTCCTGAACATGTGCCACAGTCTTAGCTTCCGCGGAAGACAACTGGAGTCTGGAGCAGACTCCTTCCATATATTTGCAACGAATTAATCTTGGCTATTGAATGGTCCTTCTTCCGGTGGGTTGGACAAAAAACAGTTGCTTCGCTTTCCCTTCGGTATGCATTAGAATCACACATGCCCAAACATTCGCAGTTGTGAGTTCTCAATCTGAAGATGCAGCGGCTGTACACCAAGGTTTTCGCGTATGTCTGCATTCCTGACCAAGTCGAGAGGCGCAAAGCCAGCGACTACTCTCAAAAACCCGTTTCAGCCACTTGCATCCGGGATTGAAGATTTCAGGCATGGTCCACGACTTATGAACGTAGGTAAGCATGGGGATGATGATCGATTTGAATACCGAGAGCTTAGATTTCAGACTCAGTTCTGCTTT